GTACTTCAGTAAGTGGCTTCTAGAGAATATCTGGGCTATAGGCTAGGCAGAGAAGTTAAAAACCATCTTGAGAAAGGCAGCATGAAACATCTGTGCTCTTTCAAAAAAAAACCTGTAGGATTGTATTCTTGAAGCAACCAGAAACTCAGGTCAATTTGAAAAACTTTACATCTTACAAGAGTTCATCTATTTCTTTGTTTCAACATTCTACCATGTAGCATGTGACCTTCTGGAATCATCTTTCTAGACAATTATTTCTTGCCCTAGTTCTATTCTATTCTATTCCTTTCCTTTCCTTTTCTGCCTTTCACTGTAAATTTCATTTCTTCTATTTTCTACATTTCTTTATTTTTATTTTATTTATTTGTCAATAGCCTACAAGATAATAAACATAAGTACAGAAATGGGTACGACTAATGGGGGACAATAGGACAAGGACGATAAGCATGATTGTGCATTATGCACACCCCTTACATACCCCTTAGGAAGGGGGTGAGGTCAACGGTGGTTACTTTGAGGGAAAAGGAGTGTGGGTTTGGGAATGTGACAACAGTCAGGTAGTGTGTTCCAGGCACTGACCACTCTGTTGCTGAAGTCGTACTTTCTGCAATCAAGTTTGGAGTGGTGTACATTAATTTATTCTGTTGCGAACTCTTCTTGTGAAATACTTTTGGACACGCTCAATTATATTAATGTCCAATATACAGTGTGGATTCCAGACAGTCGAGCTATATTCAAGTATTGGTCTTTTATAATAATTCTTCTTAATGTATAGCCCTCATACTTCCATTTGAGACAAATTTTCTTACTAAACGTACAGATTTAACTTTCTTATGAAAACTATGTTATAAAAGGGTATAACTTGCATGAACCTCTGAATACTTCATGCTTAACTACACCAGTTTCTTTGCTATTATAAGTGAAATACAGAATCTGTAATAGAATACATATAGCTGATTTGTTTTTAAAATAAAATGCAACAAGGTAAGATCATTTTGCATTCAAGACTCTGTTAAATGTGATCTTCAAAGTTTTAATAAAGTATCTGCACATTTGCTGACCAAAAAATAGCTGCATAGACTATAATATGTTAGACCTATCCAATCCAAGCATTTTTATTGGGATATGTTTTTGGAAGAATGGTTTAACTTAAAGAATGAAATGTATTGAGGGAATATTTTTAGTATTAAAATGGTTGAAGAGTGGAAGAAAAAAATCAAGAGCAATTAATTTTATTCTATTCACTGATGAAAGGACAAGAAGTGCTAAAATAATCCACAAGAAAAGAGAACTGAATCCAAGTATTAATGGCAAAAATTTTAACAATGCATGAACTTGAACAATGAAACAACCAACAATGAAACATCCAATGCTACCTTTTAAATGATGCTCTTTAAGCAAAAGATACTTTATCCTAAATTAGAATTTTGGAACACAATGAACAGAATTAGTCTTTTGTTCAGTATGTCATTTCTAAGTAAGTACTTTTAACACCAGGCTGTTGGGCTAAATAAAATCATCATAAGTTTACTCAGTGGTTTAAAATAACAATACTATGTTTGCATTTCTAAATATTACTTTAAATATATTTTGGATGCAGGATATATATGATAGGATTGCTGTTGCTCATCAAGTTTACAGGATATGTTTTGATAGGCTGCAGAAACAAAGAAGGAAGCTATGTTGCAATGTTGTGAAAACTGAGTTAATAACACACACACGTGTGTGTGTGTGTGTGTGTTGCTCATGATAGAATCATTTGAAAGGTGTCAAGTCTGTACTATACAGAACACTGATTACAGACAACATGAAGAACTGAATGAGAAGAGTCAGGTACATGGGGCTTATGACCTAAGCTAGATGAGCACACTGAGAATAAATTATAGTCCTTGCCTTATGACCACAATTGAGCTCAACATTTTTGTTGCTAAGTGACACAGTTGTTAAGTGAATTTTGCCCCGTTTTACGATCTTTCTTGTCACAATTGTTAAATGATGTTGGTAACATGATTGTTAAACGAATCTGACTTCGCTATTGACTTGGCTTGCCAGAAGATTGCAAAAGAGGATCATATGACCCAGAGACACTGCAACCATCATAAATATGAATCAGTTGCCCAGCATCCAAATTTTGATCATGTGACCATGGGGAATGCTGCAATGGTCGTGTGAAAAACAGTCATAAGTCACTTTTTCACTGACCTTGTAACGTTGAACAGTCACTAAATGAAGTGTTGTAAGTCAAGGACTGCCTGTATAGTGACCTCAATAGTGAACAGTGAATAGTGAACATTGAAAAATTCCAAAGAATTGCTAATACTTGAAAAGACAGAGATGAATACTGAACATGGTGCTCTAGACTTCAATGGGGTGTCACCAGCTAGTTCTGGCCAAAGTGACTGTGATAGAATACAGTGAAGGGGTGGATTCCCAAGAGGGAGGGAGGTGCATTCCAAGTGGACTAAGAGGCAATTCTTATGTGTGAGAGAAGGAAGGTGAAGATAATCCTTCCTGTAGAGCCCACATAGTATATAGTAGGTACAGATAATAAGAGTCTGTAGCCTGACAAGATTTTATCTATAGGTATGAAACAATAAAGAATTCACTTTGGAAGAATTGACACATGTTAATTTTGAGCCTGATGTCAGATTGGAAATCATGGTGTCCATATTCCAGTAATTCTCAGGAACTGCTGTATAGTGACTCATGGTTAGGTTTGAAGGAAATTACTAAAAATGTTTTCCTCTGTGGCCTTGATTTTTATAGCCATTTTTCTCTATTTTATCTTCAATATATATAGGGTATCATGCATTTCAGCCTTCCTTGCACACACTGTCATAATGTTTCTAGCAGTAGTTAAAACAAAAGCACAGGCCTTCAGTATCCAAAAACAATCAATAGATACTATCTTAAATGAAATTTTGGCTATTAGGCTTTGTCCAAGTTTATTTGGAAACAAATCCAATTATTCTGAGTGGAACTTAATTCCAAACAGGTATATTTAGGATTTTTTTCTAAATATAACTTAGGTCAAAAACGTAAGCACAAGACTGTGATACATTGACTCCAGTGCAAGACTAAATACCTTCTATAGGACTTCAAAAGTCCTTAAATATGGCCTGATCATATCATCTATTCATACACTCATCATCCCTTGTTTTCTGTACAAAAACAGCTTCTACAAAAGAAATTCAACTAAGTAACTTGTTCAGAAAATAATCATTATGTAGTCATGAGGAGATGGCAAACTCACTGATTAAAAAGTGAAGATGATAACAAAGAACAGAGGCAAAGAATTTAATTATATGTTTGCACATATGATGGGTATTGTTAAAATTCCAAAGCAAATAAAATTTAGCTCAAATATTCAAGTCAATAGTTAATGTGTTAAGTCGAAAACAATACTAATACTGCCTCAGGGTATTTCTGAAGACAATAGCCTGTATTTATTAACTTTTTTTTAAATTAATAAGATCTTTAATTTTTAAACTTCAGGCAGTTATTATAAGAAATGACCAGCTGAGCCCAAGTGGGTAGGTGTTTAAATGTGTGATTGCCTTGAATCCCATTAATTCTTATCTACCACCAGTTAACTTTGACCATTCGTAGTTCTGATTCTCATAAAGAGCATTAGCTATATTTGTTTAACTGCTGATGGGCTGTGGTGGCACGGTGGTTAGAATGCAGTATTGCAGATTGACTCTGCTGACTGCTAGGAGTTCAATCCTGGCTGGCTCAAGGTTGACTAGCCTTCCAGCCTTATGAAGTCAGTAAAATTGGACACAGATTGTTGGGGAAAATATGCTGACTCCAGAGGTAAATCACTTAGAGAGGACTGTAAAGCATTGTGAAGTGATATACAAGTTTAAGTGTTATTGCTGTTTCCTGTGCTTAACAGTTATCATATAAATGGTAACTTGGGGCCCTAATGGGAGTTTGCCATATTGGAGGTGGTGGTTAGTTGTGGTAATATAATCTATTGATCATTTTATCATTTTCTGTAAGGCCTTTGAATACTAGCAGTAAGTCTAGGGAGATGTGGGCATTCTTGGTGGGGGTAGGAGTACCTTTGCTCATGAGTGTCTCATCCTGTTTGATTCTGCAAGTTTAGAAGGAATAGGAAAATGGGTGAAAGTTCAAGGTACACAGTTGTGCTTTCTCATGGGACTTTCCAAACTTTCCCATGAGACTTTCCGTGGCTGTATGATCTCATCCTAGCAAGGTAACATCTGGGACTTTCCAAGATTGTGTGTTCTCATGCTGGTGAAGTAATCTCCTGTTGAGGTCATTGTTTTCTGAATATGCATACTGTATATTTGCTTGTGTTTTTTCTCAATAAATACTGCTACCTGAGTTCTCTCAGGGTTGGCATTTTCTCAAGACATTTCACCGTGTCTCATTTCAAATGTCAATCCACCATAGTTAGTCGTTCAAACAGAAGACCCCACTTCCACCCCATTATATGCTGGCCCTTATTTTTGTTTAATTTATGTGCCACCTATCTTTCTGATAGGGCTACACTGGGTGTCTTACAGAACACAAAAAGATAATTAGAAAAGCAATTAAAAGTTTCTGCATCAGCTGTGACTTTCTAATACTTTTCAAGAGTAGCCCCATGTAGAATGCATTGCAGTAATCCAACTGACAGATGAGTAGGGCATGGGTGACAATGCGCAGGGCCTCACGATCCAAATATCTTAGCTAATTATGTTAATTATGTTATATTTACTGTTTTAACTTTTTAGAATGCATTTTTGTTATGTTGTAAGTCTCACGATAATGAGATGGATCGCATGTACATTAAATAAATAAATAAATAAAGAAAGAAAGAAAGAAAGAAAGAAAGAAAGAAAGAAATAATCACATGAAAGCTATTGTTTTCACGAATCTTTCAAATATTGCCCTTTAACCAACTGGCATTCTCTAGTAGTAGTATTTTAATGTAATAAATAACCCAAGCTTGAAAATTCCAATAAATTACAGAAACAATGAATGATAACAAAAAATGGCAATATCTTTCTGAAAGTCTCTGTAATGAGTGCCGCTAATGCTAAACTTTCTGTTGTATCAGATGACATATATCATAACCTTCTTTCACTCCTTCTTCAACCAAGTGAAAACAGGGTAGAATAGTTAGTAGAGCACCATATTTAACATAAAAAGATTGAAAATCAAATATTTCAACTAATAAGTATGTGTGTACATATATATACACATACAAATATGAATAATTACAATTTCAAGCTTACATACTCATGCAAAAAAATCAGACGCAATCTATCAACAGTTTTTCAGATTAACAAATATTATTAAAAAGCATGCCTCTTAATAAAATTTGTTAGCTAAAAAAACTCTTACCAGATTTTTGGTTTTTGACTACCATAGACTAACAGGGCTCTCCTCTTACAATATTAATTATACTGTGATGTCCAGAGCTGGTCTCACATATGTTTTGTTTTGGATTTCTCCTCCTCTATTGTGTTCTATCTGCAAATTAACATGGGTGTTCCATCACTGAAGGCTTTGAAAAAGAGACTGGACAGCCATCTGTCTGATCTCCTGTTTGAGCAAGAAGTTGGATTAGAAGACCTCCAAGGTCCCTTCCAACTCTATGTTATATGTTATATGTTGTAAGAAATGTATATGGTGAAATTATGACAATCACGAGTTTTCTTTATTGTGTTCTTTTATGTCACTATTTTGAAATAACATAGATAGATGTCAGCCCCCATCCATCTTGAATCGGATTTGGGGCTACCACAAGGGAGGAAGGGTAACCATGGGAATGAAAGTAAAGTGAGAAGGGAGGATAGCCACAACAACATTCTTTCGCCAGAGCTCAAGGCTGAGTCACTGGAGTATGGAGGGGAATGACTGGACTTGGCAGGAATTCAGAAGTTCAGAATGGAGGTGGATTGGACAGTGTGACTTGAGGGTCATCAGAAAAGTGAGTTTAATATAGCGGGGAAAACGCGGGAATTCAGATTCGGTTTTCCCAGATATGCCAATATGACACACACAAACACAAAGTAAATTTTGTAGGAGCAGAGTAGAAGGTATTAAATCCGATTCTAAGTTTTAAATTCCAGACATTTAAATTTTATTCCATTCCTATGATAAGCTTATAGTTGGTGGATAACAGAGATAGACAGACAGACAAAGTGAGTAGTGAGGATGGTAACAGCAGCAGCAGCAGCAGTAATGTTTTTGATTTAACTTTGCTTCAATAGATGAAATCAAATCCATTTTACAGAATGAGTGTTTTGCCTCACTCGTCAAAGCATTTTGCAACATAGCTCAGAAATAAATTTCTATCACTTTATAGTCCTTAGAAATTGTACAGGATGTGGTACAGAGTACAATAAATGCATAAATAAAAGCTGGTTGATGATAGAAATCAATTACCACCACCTTGACTAAATGAAGGGACAACTCAGGTTCCAAGCCAACGAGCAGCAAAGAGATTTTTAAATATACTTCATATGGATCATTTCATATCATTCTTTTTTATGAAATTCTTCTTCCTCCATTGAAGGAAATTGCCTGATCATTTCATGCATCTTATCTGTATAATGCAGAACCTGATCAACTGCAGGTTCATTTCATTCATAACAATTATTTGAGTGCTGGCTGCACAGATTCTCTTAAGCCTAGCACTACTTCCATCACTTTCCCCAAATGAATTCCTTCAATAGCCTTTAATGTATTATAGTTTATCCTCATTCAAATGTAAAATAAATACCTGCAAATTCAGATGCATCCACCTCCTTTATTCTGGGCTAAATATTCCTAGTTATGGTTAACAACAGCAGACATAGGCTTTCACTCACAACAGTACCATGGGATTAATTTTGACTTCTAAGTAGCTAAAAATTTTGCAGAGCTCATTCTGTTTTCATAGATTATTCTTTTGCATAATGTATTCTGGTGTTTGAAGTTAGAAAAAAAAGCAAGAAGTTATGAAATCCACCATAACTAGAAATCTTACTGGATAACCTGCCTGGCTTCTGACATTTCGTGAGGCTTTTACACAAGTTTATTTTGGGGGGAGGGAGTGTCTGCTTTGCTAATTCAAAACCTAGAGGGAAGTAATGGTTCACGAAAATTAGACTCGTGGGTTCTGGATTTTGCTGACCTCTGACTTTGGGGTGCAGGCAAAGGACAGCTTGACAAAAATTTACATTATGAGCAGGCAACCAGGAATGGACTTTTTACCCCAAGCCTTAATTTAGGAGGCAGAGGTGAGTCAGGCTTGATCAGCTGCATCAAAACACTCTTATTTTGGAAAATGAAATATGAACATGAAAAAGTTCATGTTAGTTCTACCCTGGTCCTGTTGAAAAGGGACCCCTAAAAACCTTCACCCAGGTCTTGGTTTAGGTTAGGCGAGAAAGGGCATATGTTTGAGAGAGGCGGCTTTCATTTTTTCCCAAAGCCAATTATTTTCCTTTGCATTGTTGCTATAAATTTATTTTTTAATGTTATATGTATCTTAAAGTCATTTTGGGGTTGGGAAGTTTTGCAAATTGATGTATTCATACATATAGTATAAATAGAATACTGGGCCCAATCTTTTTTTTAATAACTAATTTAATCTTGCCTTCTCTGCCTATAAGGACAGCTTTTTCTTATCTGTAATGTACCCTATAATTAGCTCTAATGTGTGTTATTAATCTTTTATGATTCCCTTTCTGACTCAGCTTCGCATTATTTCAGTATATTATTCATTCTTGATTTTTCTTCTTTGAATTATATGGCATTATTAGCCAGCAGCAAATACAAACAAAAATTTAAAGTTTTTGTTGTGCAGGACTTGTGATTCAAACTAGCTTGTCAATATGAATGAGACAAGGCCTTATGATTTCAAAAATATCATATGCTGGCAATGGTAATAAAACTAATTTATACATTTTTATTAAATAAAAATACTATTACTACTTTTTAAAAATGTAAGTATTTTAAAATACATATGGATGGCTATTTTTTTTTAAATATAATTGGAAAAAACAATTGAATTGTAAATCTTGTGTTCCACAAAGCCAGCTGATGAAACCCCTACTTCAAAAAGTTGCTCATATCAATTACATTATTGACCTCTGTAAAATTAATGGTGTGAATAAGTGATCATTAGTGCATATCAAAGATCCCATTCTAGCAGATAGAATTAATTAATTAATTTCAGTCCCGTGGTGTGCTAAAATGTGTTGCTTGGCTGAACACCACAAGAACCACTTTATATCTGCAGCTGCTGTTGCATAATGTAGCAGCCATGTCCCAGTATCTATCATTCCCATTTTTTTTATGAAGACATCCATTGTCTTCATTTTTCTTCATTCTCTGGATTACACATCCAGATCTTCATTTTAAGACTCCTGATTCTCCACAATCATTTTCTAGTAATGTCTACTGTTGCTGATTAAAGCAACCAAACACTCAAAATTAAAGGGAAATTGTATCGTCTAAATGCTGACTCATCACACCTGAATAGGATGAGAAGGTAAATCCTTAAAACAACTGCATTGCCTGTTATCCTTTGTGCTACAAGAGGACATGCAAAATGTAGCAATTCCTGCTGTTGTGATTTGAAGGATATGATATCCAGTTTATAGTTTACACTTAGTCCCTTGATAGCAAATCTATGGCTTGCGTGCCAGAGATGGCACGCAGAGTCCCCTCTGTGGGCACACATGCCATTGCCAGCTGTTCTTCTGGTTTCCAGCATGCACATGCGCACTGGCCAGCTGGTCTTCTGTTTCTGGCGCTCCGACGCACAAGTGTGCATGCATTCGCACACACGTTCCGGTTTCAGCACTCAGTGTTGAAAAGGTTTGCCATCACTGCACTAGTCCATATGGAACACTAACATGTCTCTGCTTTTGAAGATGCTACACAAAAAGATTATTGTCATAGACTGTCTAATATACTTGTACAGTTATTTATTTATTCAAATTTTACAGTATGTTACCATGGTACAGTACACTTTAAATCAAATTTTAAGAAAAAGTGCCCTGTTAATCTAACCAAAGACCCTCATGTAATCATGAGCAGCTCCAATACAGAAATAAACTTGCATGCAGGGACATCCTTACCTTACCTACCTTTGGAGGCACACTGTTGGCACATACTTCACCTGAGCCCTAACTTTATCCCAATGATCAATCTTGTATTAAAGTTCAATATGTAGTCATAGACAGGATGTCAAAGTTACAAAATGTGTGTTAAGATCCTGTAATACAAGTTTCTCTCTTTCAGAGTTGTTTCACAACATTGTACACCAGAACATAAGGAACAACATTTGCATCATGATACATTTTGTTACTTAATCCCCGTGGATGTCCATGCTAACAGTTCAATCAGCTTTTGAACTGGGGAGCTGAGATCTCCTTTTCCTCTAAATGAAGCAGGATGATTCTCACTTATTTCATGCAAAGTCTTAAAATAACATGGAAATCATGGGGATTCTCATAGTCAAATTCTTAGGAAAGATATCTCAGCAGAAAAATGTTTTCCCTTAAGAATTCTAAGACTTGTAGGCCCAGCCTTGACCAGAAATGGCTTCTTGCTGGGTCTGTAGAAGCACCACTGATCTTTCCTCTTCTCAAAGCTTGTTTATTTCTTGGAAAGGCTGAAGAAGAGAGTGTTGTGAAACATTCTGAAAATTCTGAACATTTTCCAAGAAAGCTGAAAGACTATTATGCAGTTATGCATTTTTTAAAAAAGAAAACTCCAATGCTTTGGGTATTGTGTAAAGAACCAATAAATTGAATGAAGAAATATTAAGTTTAAGAGATTTCCAAAATGAACATCTTTCATAACAACAATAGAGACAATGGAAAATTTACTTTAACCAGGTAATGTTACACAGGAGAGATGTCCTGCTGAACTATATAAACACACTGCTGAATTCCTCACCATGTGAACTAATTACTTAAAACCCACTCAAGGGCTCCACTAAACAGTAAAAAATTCCCCCAGCTCTCAAAGTAGGACAGATGGCCCTTTAAATAAGTTTTGGCTCATGTTTCCCAG